CCCCTGTGTAGCATCCACAGCTCTGTAACGCCTGGCCACCAGGCTTGTCTCATTCCTGCGCCTGGCCCAGTTTCTATCTGGGGCAGGACTTTGATGAACACTGGCCTTCTGAAGGAGAGAGGTTACTTCCAGCTCTGCCACTAACTTGCTGTGCGACTTAGGTGTGTCATTTACTCTCCCCAAGCCACATTTCTTTTCTCCTGTCATTGTTGTGAGCATGGAGTGAGACAAGTGTAGAAGGAGCCTAGCTTGCAGTCTGGTGCCTAGAAGGTGCTAGGCTAACCGGCCAGACCAGTGTTCTTAACAGCTGGTTTGCCATGTTACTCCCGTGATTGGGTGTGTCCAGGGACTTGACTCTGGCATTCAGGGCTTTTCCACACAATCTGTTATTTTGGTATGTCACACAAAACTCTGTTATTTTCAGACCAGTCTTCCCCTTCCTGCCCTTCCACTTCCTTCTTGACTCCAGACCTTGGCTTGTGTCGTTCATTCTAATTACAGTGGCCATCTCTTTTCCCTGTGAGCCAAATATTGCTTTTCCCAACACCACCTATTCTGTAGGATCTAATGTAGTCCTTCCCACCTGTCGCTTCTCTGATGCCTCTTCCAAGCGTCCAGTCACTTCTGCAGAGGCCACTGATGGATTTGAGAATTCTTCCTGAACTTAAATGTTACTCTGTGTGACGTCTCTGCTACACAGTCTCATGTAGATTTCATCTCACCAATTAGATTCTAAGCTTCTACAAAGAAGATTTTCTTTTTTTTCTTCTCTCTCACTCCCTCCCCTCCCTCCCCTCCTCTCCTTCTTACTGATCTCCCAGCATCTAGCAGAATTCTTTATTTATAACCTTAGATGTAAAGGAGCGCTTTACAAAGACAAAGAGCTTTCCTATCCGTGAGCTAATGTGACCTTTGCAACCTCTCCATGTGGTAGCTATTATTGTTTCCATTTTACAAATGAGAAAACTGAGTGTTCCACAGAGAAAGTGGCTTGTCCAAGGATGGCCTGTCAAAGGAGCAGAACCAGAGATCCGATGGCGAGTCAAGTGCTCTTGAAGGAATGAGCTCTTTCCCAGGAGGGAGGTCTTTGTAACTCTGGATGGCTGCACATCCTAACTGACATCTGCAGAGTCCCTTTTGCCACGTAAGGTTACACACGCATAGATTCTGGAAATTAGGATGTGAATGTCTTTGGGAGGCCATTATTCTGCCTACCATAGGGCAGATTTAAGCTGAAAACTAAGAAAAAAAATGTTCTAAAAACTAGAGCTATCTCCTTGAACGGATTGCCTCCTAAGCACATGAGCTTCTCTAGTGTGTCCAAATGAATTTTGGACAATAACACATCTGGCATGCTATTGAAAGGATTCACACATCAGAACAGGCTTTGTATGAACCCTGTGCTCTGCTTAAATTATGACTGTATAAATGTCTATTCTTCCATAGGATTGGGGTTTTTCTGTGTGTTTTTACCATAGCCCTAATCATATTTCAATGGACATTTAGATAGATGATGTATATTAGGTACCATGTCTTACTGCTTTTTATCCAGCTTAGTAGGTCATGTAGTGGAGACTTGATACACATTTTAAATAAATTTAACTAATTCATTAACTGAGTTAAACAGGCTGAGGCCAATATCCCAGTAGATCAGCTGAGTCATGGGAGAGTATCTCAACTCACTTTAAAATGTAAATGCTGGCCATCAATTTAGACTGCTGTAGCAATCAATACGTGTCCTATCCAGAGTCTGAAATTTATACTAGGCTTTAGAAGTTCCAAACCTGCTTTTCAATTGCTCAGCCATACAGTTCTAATGATTCTGGCAAAGCGCACAAAGCATTGTGTGGGATACTACATCATTTCTGGGAGCATCTGGGATTTGCTAAATAGAAGCCACCAGGAGGATCTGCTCTGGCATTGAATGGAAAGCACCTTAAGTGAAATCATCGCCAGTATTGATCATGTGAGTTTCTGGTGAAAGCCCATGAGCCAATTAATAGGCTGCTGCCTTGACACTGTGGCTTGTGACAGGCACCTTCCATGGCAGAATCAGCACAAGCTTGGCTGGAGGTAACGGTCATTGGACCCAGAGTTGGCCTTCAGACCTCCTAGCAAGGAAGAGAAGCAATCACCTGTTTTAGTTTTCCCTCTCCTGGCTTATGAGTCCCATGGAAAGCCTATTCCTATTAATTTGTTTTCTTTGACTGTTAATATATTTGAGAAAGGATAAAAAGGATATACTGTACTAGAATAGTAAAATAAAGAGACTTTGCAAACTTGCCAGAGATCTGAAGTTTGCCCAGGGCCTCAGGGACCAGTACAGCCCAGCAGTTGAATTTTATTGTATGTGTAATTTCCCCAAACGGTGCCTTCTTTGATTCTTTATAGTAAACGTGAAATTGGCTTCAGACTTTGGGCCCACAAGTATATTTTTAAAGGCATTTTCATCTTCTTTGGGTGATGAATGCCTTTGCAGACTGGCTAATAGGCACACGTCAGCACGTGTTTCAGTGATCCCTTCTATTTTGAATTGCCCTTTGCATGTTTTCTTTGATCCTTCCACTTTGTACTTCGAGTTGGATTACTTCTATAAAGCAAGCAGACAATTTCCCTTGATGTGGATCTTGGGGAAATAGTACAGAGTGATTTTTTTTCTCCCCCACTTTTCCATTCCCAAGCAATATGCTTTGGCAATGGAGGTTGCCCCATAAGCTATGGGACAGATCACCCGAGTAACCCCTTGACATGTTCTGAGCATAAATGAGCAACACACAAAGGTAAGGAGGCAAAGAATGCTTTAAAAAGGAAAAAAAAAAAAAGCAAAACAAAAACCAAGAAGCACAGTAGCTTGGGAATCCTTGAGTACAGGGCTTACAACCTATTTACCTATTTCCGGTTCTGTCCCAGCACCTCTCTCATGGGGTGGTCCTGCTGCCATTGCTGAATTGAAATACATGGACATTTGTTTTATTTCTTGGGAGATGTTTTCTCATAAGCACTGTGTTGGAAATCCAGGTCAAATGATACATGCTCTTTATTTTACGAAAAAAACCCCCAAACAACAACAAAAAACAAGCCATATAGAAAAGTACAAAGACATGAACCATCAGTCAACCTAGACCTCCCTGCCTAGAGATAGGCTGTGTTGACACTTGTTGAACATTTTCTCTCTGCCTCTGTACAGATGGGTATAGATTAGGAGACAGAAGAGAAAAAAAGAGAAATAAGAGTGATAAATTTGACAGCATAGAAATGAAAAACTACTCTGTGACAATATATCATAAAGTCAAAAAAATAAATGTCTAAGGGGAAAATATATAAAGAATTCTTGTAAAATATAGATGAAAAAGACTACTCAAATGTATGGAAAAAAGACAGGAAGAAACAATTTATAGGAGAAGAAACATAAATGGCCAATAAACATACACAAAAATAAAAAATCCATCGAGGTTTTGATTTTCACTATAATTTTCATTAGAAGTGGATTTGGTTCTTTTTAAGCCTGTTTTTTTCTGAAAACTTTTTTTGATTCTTTCTTTTATATCTTTCATCATTTGAAACATATTTTATAGTCTCCATTTGAAATTCTTGGAGCTTAATCCTGTTCTATGCTGCATCTGCTATATCATGATGGATTGTATCTTGAATTTATTAATATTTTGAGTTCACCTTCAACAGAGGGGTTTTAGGAACACTATTGTGGGATGTGGAATATAGACATGTTTTCCAGGAACAGGTTTTTGTTTGCTTTTGCCATGTGTTCATGGCAAATTTTAAGTTAATTTCTTAGCATGGGTGTTCCCAGAATGTGTCTATGATGTAGAGGACAACTTCAAACTTAAAGGACTGTGTAATACACCTCCACCGTTACCCGGTGCCTGGTGCGGACACTTTACTCTCTGCCCCAAACCCAGCTCAAGAGAGACTAACTTTGTTTTCTTGATGATATTGGAAGGCAGCTAAAATAGTATGTGTGTGTGTGTGTGTGTGTGTGTGTGTGTGTGTGTGTGTGCTTTTTTCTTTTCTAGCTCTTGAAAGATTTCCCTTACTTTCTTGCAAGCTCAGAAAGAATGTTTGTTCTATTTTATTTAGAATTCTAGGAATTCAGTAGCAAACGGTATTGGGGAAACTAAGTGTGTTGTGTTGCCAGAACCGGAAGTCCTGGGGAAGTTATTTCCCTATACAGAAAACAGATCATATAGTCACCATTATCACTAATGTGGAATGATTTCAATATGCTATTTATTTGCAGTGGATTTTAGAATGTAAAATGTTTGGAGATTAAAAATCTATTAAATGACTTCATTCTTTCAAACTACCTGGGAACTGTTTTTTTCTAAATTTGCATTGGGAATTTCTTGAGACCATGTCCATTAAATAACAAATTTTGTACTGGAACAGAATTTGAACACAGTGAGTGTGGAATAATAGAAACAGAGGCTATTTGTATATTTGTCACAGCTCTTTTAGAAACTCAACTCCAATTACCTTAAGTAAAAAAGGATATTTATTAACTCAGATAGCTGAAAAATCATGGGGTTTATTGCTCAAGTACGGATAGATTCACGTGCTCAGAAAGTGTAATTAGAGTCAGTCTCTTTTAACCTTTTGGTTCTACTTTCTTTTGTGTTGGCTTCATTGTTACTTGAATTCTGTCCTTGTGGTGGCAAGGTATTTTCCAACAGCCTCAGTTAGAGAGGACAGCAGACCCTCTTCACAGCTTGTCTAGCAGCTAACCTGGGACTGTGGCTTATTGGCCTTGGCATCTGCCCATCCCTGCCCAGTCCACCCGGCCAAGGAGTGACTGGCCTTGCCCCTGGAGTTAGTATCAGCTTTGGTCCAATTTCTTAGGCTGAGAATGGAGGAGGGTAGTTCTTGAGAGAAAAATTGGGGTGCTGTCACCAGAGGAGAAGGGGATGGAAGCCAGGTAAGCAAGGTATAGCCAATGTCCCCCATAATCTGTCTAATTTCTTGTTTGTGTTTGCTGTTCATTTCAGGATAGTGTTGAATTTAGAAACATCTGCAGTCATTTGGCTCTACAGATTGAAGGACAGCAATTTGACAGAGACTTGAATGCTGCCCACCAGTGTTTGAAGACAATAGTCAAGAAGCTGATTCAGTCACTTGCTAATCTCCCTTCAGATGCTCACGTGGTAGCTTGTGCTTCCTTGAGACAGATTTTACAGAATCTCCCAGACATCTGAGTGTGAAAGACGTCGGGATTAAAACCACAGCTAGCGCTGTTAAGAGGACTGGATACCTTCCCTTCCTAATTGAATCCACAGACAATAGATGTTTTTATTTCCCAAAAGGAGAGACTTACTGGCACATGGAACAGTCTGACTAGTGGTATTCATAGCTTTCAGGATTATCGCATGTTAGTGAAAATTTTTTAAAGCAGTTAGTTCACATTTTTTAGTATGTTGGCTTATTTGCTGACTTTTTGATTGAAATATATTCTACTTTGTGTAACTGATTTGATTACATATGTATATATTTATCAATTCATAGTATTAGTTTTGATTGAATGATACCTTAATCTATATTCATATTAATGTAGGCCTGTAAGGTTTAAAATGACTATTTATATGATTAAAGCTCCATGGTTCTTAAAATATCTTGAATAAATGGGCTATTTGATAATTGCTATGTTACTTACTGGATACTTCATTTTATATTATGAGAATGATCTTTAGTTTTAGGGCCACGTGTGTCAGTAGTTAGGAGTTCTAATTCTGGCATTAATAACTTACTGTTGGACAGGAAAAGAGTTGCTTCTAAACCTTGTCCTTTCATGTACTGGATTGTAAATTTAAAATGATAATGAGCTATGAAGTACCAAGGATATATGATCTGTAAATACAAAGTACAGTATTATTAAAGTTTCATGTGGACAAATCTAGCTCTTCTTGCTGTCTCTAAATATTCTGATTGAAATAGGAAATTCTTGTGAAAAACAGGAGGGAGTGGATATACTGGCAGATTTCCCTAACCATTTAGAGCTGGAAAAAGAGAGGATGATTTCTTCCTCCTCCTTTTCCTCCTTCTTCTTCCTATTCCCCCCTACCTCCGTTTTTCTAGAGGTTCTCTGATTGAGAACCAAAGTAACATGAAATGCTATTTTCCCTTAAATTTTAATAGGAACAGAATTGGATTTAGAAAAAATGATTACAGTGTATATGTGCAGCTAGTTTTGAAAAAGAATTTATAAACTGAGTCTGTGTGGTGAGAGTATATCTACTATTTTTAAAAGTATTAATAGTAATTAGAGTCTTTTTAATCTCATCTACTCCAATTTTAGTTGGTTCCAAATGTTTTCTTCCAGAGTTTGAGAATGAATGGTAAATAATTGTTTCTCTTTGGATATAACTAGCCATTTCTATAGAGGAGAATTAAGTATCCAAGACTGAATTCTCACGGAGAAGTGGATAGTGTGTTTGCGTGCGTGTGGGGTGGGGGGGTGGGGTGGAGAGTGGGTGTAAGATGGACCAGAAAGAAAGGGTATTTATTTCTTGGGAATAATCTTTGGCACTTTGTTTTCCCACCCCTAGGAAACATTGTATTCTGGGGGCATGACTTTATTTTATATTGTAGTCTGCTATAGTCTGGACATGTCTGCCCCCTAAATCTCATGTTGACATATGATCCCCAGTGTTGCAGGTGGGGCTTCCTGGGAGGTGTCTGGTTTGTGGGGTGGGAACCTTCATGAATGGTTTGGTGCGGTCCTTGAGGCAATGGGTGAGTTCTCACTCTATGAGTTCCCACAAGAGATCTCTTAAGAGCTGGCTGTTGAAAAGGCATCTTCTCCCTCTCTCTTGCCCCCTCTCACCCCCTCTCTCGTCATGGGAGCGCCCCATGCTGGTTCCCTTCACCCTCTGCCAGGGCGGGAAGCAGCCTGGAGCCCTCACCAAAGGCAGATGCTGGCGCCATGCTTCTTGTACAGCCAGCGGGACCGTGAGCCAAATAAACCTCTTTTCTTTATAAATTACCCAGCCTTGGGTATTCTTTTATAGCAACGCAAACAGACTAAGACAAGGTCTTTCTTTCCCCAGGGAAATTATCCCAGTATTTTCCTTTAAGAACCCATCATTATTAATAGCCTACCTACCCTGTTTGCAATTAATGGTCCTCTCAATAAATATTAAAGTTTCTTTTTTCACTCTTAACTATTAATACAAGTAATGCCGACCATTTTTGCTTTTCTGTTTGTGTTTGTGGTTTTTCCTCACTTTGTGCCACGTTTCCCACAGACTGATTAAAATCCTACTCATCCTTCAAGGCCTGATTTACCCACCACTCCTCCATGAACCCTCCTGGGTCACCCTAGTCAAAGGTGAAATCCTCTTCTTCTTAACTCGAATAGAACACATTCTGTGCTACTCTCTGGCATTTATCATCTTAATACCATGGCCTCAGTAAATCTGCTATCAAGATCAGCTTGCTAGGGGCCGGAATTGTCTAGACATCTTTGTATATTGCATAACATCTGTGGTTCTTCCAGTTCTGTGACACTACTAGAACTTCCATTGCCTCTCCCACCTCTTCACACCCTTCCCTTATCTCAGTCTAATCTAACTTCTGTGTCTTTTGTTCTACGGTCAGTCTGTACAATCATTTGGCTGTACATGCTACCAATTCTCTTCCCTTTTCCCCCTTTGCTTGAATGCTGCTTGCAAAACTCTCTTCCTGGTCAAATTCTATTCCTCTGCCTACACATGATCAAGTCCAGCCCTCTGTCTGTACATGAGCTGTGAATGTAACTGGAGAACACCCACATAGTACCTTGAGCAATGGCACCTTGATTACTTGTATGAGGGCAGGTTGTGGATGTTTTTCATAATTCTGAAAAGAAGTTGAATCATTTGATATTTTCTTCACTGAATGTCTTTGCATATTTTACCTTCCCATTCCCTTTGACTCTTACTTTTAGATGATCCGTAACAATGGATTTCTGGGTGGTAGAAACCCTCCAGAAATAGAGAAAAGTAGGGGCCATGCCGGGGACCTTCTAAGCAGAGTGGGATACTTGGATGACAAGATGGCACCTGTACTCTTCTCTTGTCCTTAAATGCTCTCCTCGCCGCCTACTCTACTCTTCTGGAAGCTCTTGTCCTACATCCTTTCAGCTGCATGCCTTACACTGATTCACCAGCTGTCTTTGGGTTCCTTTGGCTGTGATCCATTTTCTTTTGCATCTTCAGAATCAACCTTTGTTCCTCCATTTATATGCTCTGCTATTGTTTATAACTGACACAGTTTCTTCCCAAAGTGGATTAATTTTCTTGATTTAAATGAAGGCCTTTGGAAGGTAGAAATCCATTTGGATACTTGCTTCAGAAAGAATGTTAGAAACAAGCCCTTGTAAGAATCAAGTCTTTCGCGTCTTAAAATTCCCTCCAATAATTGGCCCCATTTCCCATTTTTCTTCATGCTCTGGTGCCAGATCCTTAGGCAATAAATCTATCGGAGAGGAGTATAAATCCTGTGCATCTGTGAATTCAAGCCACATTTAATTCAGCAGAACTTCAACTAAGAAGTGTTCCACATCATCTGGGTGTCCTCATCAGGGACCTCAGTGTTCCATTCTATTGCCAAATTACCACAGTCCTGGTTTCACTTAGCTACGTGCCAGAACCAAAGGTCTGGGATGTGTATGTATGCCAGAGAGCTCTACCTTTGTTGGATGTGACTTGTTTACTGCTATGCTTAAAAGGAGTGATATTAAAGCTGAACTGTAGTTTGTAAATTTCTCTTCTTGTGGACAAGTTCATTTCATATCTGCTCCATGCTTACAGTCATAAGTCAGGAGACACTTCAAGGTTGGCAGAAATCTTTCCTGGCACAGAAGTACCACTAATTTGTTTCCCTTGCCTTGGTGAAGACTTTGATAATAATCATGGCTTCACTTTCTTTTTCCTTAAAAAAGCATTACAAAATGCCTGTGGAACATAAGGGTATCTGGCAGAAAAACAAATGTCATAGGGATCCTAGAAAAAAGTTGCAGAAAACAGTGTTGGATTAAGTTGCTACAAAGAAGAAAGAGGAGATTCTGCAAAGGTCCCTGTCCCCTGCACCTGCACTCCAGCTCAGAACGGAACACTCTGCGTGCATGTGCGTGTGTGTGAGAGTGTGCGCGCGCGTTGTGTCTGGGGCAGAGGGAGGGGGGAGAAGGGGAGGAGGTACACTGAGGCTGGCGCTGTAATCCCAAACATGAAGAAAGCAGTGGGATAATTTGGAAAATTAATGTCCTTGGGGATATCCACAGACTCACTTTAAATAGTTCATCAAATGTGTTTGGTTGGTTTGTTGATTTGCTCAAATGAAAAATATATGGCTTCTCACATGTGGCACTTTTCATACTGTCTTTAAATGTTGAGAAGTGTCAAAGTGATAGCTGTTTTATACACAATCTCATTAAACCCTCCAAGATTGTTCTTGATACCCTTTTGTCTTTTAGTCTTTCTTACTTTCTTTCTTTTTTCCTTTTATTTATTTATTTATTTATTTTTTGAGACAGGGTCTTGCTCTGTCACCTGGGTAGAGTGCAGTGGCGTTATCATAGCTCACTGCAACCTCAAACTCCTGAGCTCAAGCAATTACTCCTGCCTCAGCCTCCTGAGTAGCTGGGACTATAGCCATGTGCCACCACGCCTGGCTAATTTTTTCTATTTTTGGTAGAGACAGGGTCTCACTCTTGTTCAGAGTGGTCTCGAACTCCTGGCCTCCAGCAATTCTCCCGCCTCTGCCTCTCAGAGTGCTAGGATTATAGGCGTCACCCCTCTCTGTGTCTTGAACCATCTTCTACAGAATTGTGGCAAGGGCATTTATAAGGCTATTAATTGCATTCTGAATATTTGTGTATCTACGTATTCTTTTATATATGAATAAAGTTAACAGATGTTGGTTTCTGTTTCTTTTCCCTCAATTTTTTAAATCTATTCCCTTCCCTCTCTTTCAGTCTCAGACAACATGATACTTGTTTGACACCTATTTCCTGTGTATCTCAGAATTGAACTACATGTGTACATAGCAGGAAAACTGTTCACACTCACATTGGATGAACAGTCATACCTAGAGGGAATAGGAATAAAGCTCTTTTATCCATTTTCTTGCCCCATAGCAATTTTAATTAAAGGACAAAAAGGGAAAGCATGAGCTAAACCTTGTTGATGTAATTGCCCTCATACTTTTGCTTAATTAAATTTAAATGGTTACTATGATCCCTATATTACCCTATTTATAAATTCTATATTTTTGGTAGCCACCTTGAGAATATTCCTGTTCTCAATACTGAATTTCTGAATTTTTCATTAAAAAAATGGGTAGCTTTGCCTAGCTTTAATAGGATCAGGAGCTCTAAAGTTAATGGGATTGTAATTATTGCACTGCCATGAGTTTGCACTGAATCCTGTTTTGCTCCTGTTCTCTGGGTCTTGTTTCTTCTGGAGGAAATGTTGCACCATTAAATCACGAAACATTCACAAGTTCATGTGCAGCCTAAGTGGGCCCATGGGACAGCCTGCTTCAAATTCACCCAGAGCATCTATAAACACACATTCCTACCTTACTCGGGCCAAACTCTAATGCAAACCCCCATCATCTATTCTACATGTAAAATACAACCGGTCTGTTGTTTCCAGGTGATTTAATGACTGAATCTACTCAATAGTTGATCTAGTCAGTATAGAAATAATTGAAAAAGAGTTGACAACAGGCCGGGCATGGTGGCTCATGTGATACTAGCACTTTGAGAGTCTGAAATGGGAGGATTGCTTGAGGCCAGGAGTTTGAGACCAGCCTGGGCAACATAGTGAGACCCAATCTCTACAAAACAACTGAAAAATTTGCTGGACGTGGTGGTGCACTCCTGTAGTCCCAGCTACTTGGGAACCTGAAGCAGGAGGATTGCTTGAGCCCAGGAGTTTGAGGTTGCAGTAACCTGTGCACTCTAGCCTGAGCAACAGAGCAAGGCCTTGCCTCAAAAAGAAACAATAATTGACAACGAATCCAATGAATTCAGTAGGGCTGTCTGTGTGTATGTATGTGTGTGTGTGTGTGTGTGTATGTGTGTGTGTGTGTGTGTAATTTTCTACATCAATGAACAGATGATTTACAGGTGTTCCCTCTGATTTTCCTTCCCCCATTTCAGTAGATTGAAATACAGGTTGAAAAGATCTTTGAGTGCAGAGATTTTTCTACTGACAATGAGTATCCACAGAAATGAGAAATTCCAGAATGACACACAGTTCTAAGTAATGATTACATATCTAACATGTTCCCAAATGGGCTTTCTAAGCACTGACTAATTATATTATATCATAATTTCCAAGAGCTCCTTTAACTAAACGCTTTAAATGCTGTTCTTCGCAAATAAAATGCATTCTTGGGGGAAAAGAAGAGGGAAGCCCCTAGCAATTCAGCATCACAAGTGATGAATA